CCCGTGGTCTGCTGGAAACAGCAGACCAGGGAGACGGAGAGCAAAGACAGCCGCGGTGCGTCTGGGCTGTCCACGTGCTCCGCGGCTTTGCTCAGCAGACCAGGGAGATGCGGAGCAGCTTTTCTCGCCCCGGAGGACGCGGGCGGCAGGACCGCGGCGCATCTGGGCATCCCGCCGCTCCCATCCTCCGGGGCGAGAAAAACCCCGTTCGTAACTGCAGATCCGACATAAGTCAGATCCGCGTAACTCGGGGACTGCCTGTATATGTCTCCAATCCAATTTGGAAATCACTTTGCTTGAATGATGCCAAAGTTGCCTAATCTTCATTTTTCAGCAGCTTTCCTCACAGTGCTTGTGTTGGAGTCTTGCACTCCTTGCTCTTTGGCTGATCTTCTTGTGTTGTTTTTGTTTTCTAAAGGTTTTCCTGGCTAGCAATGAGGCCCAGAAATCAAGCCAGTGCTGCTAAGTGAGGGACCCACTCAGGAGCTGTTCACTGATGACCAGAAAGGCTAGCTTGCCAGTCTTGCTGCTATGGCAGAAGGTGCTGCAGTTGTGACCAAGCTATGTCCAAGTTATGCCTTTCTGTGGATACTGAAGATTACGGGTGAGAACCAATGCTCTCAAACTCATTTCTAATTTTCCTTTTTTTAAATCCATCACTCATAAACGATGCCAGAAATACTGTTTGATTTAAATGTATTTGCATTCATTTTATTTTGTCCTTGATTTTTCTTGGTAGCTGTCTATGAATGTGGGCATCTGAATTCCAGGTGATAGAAATTTCTTGTGGGATTTCTGATCTTCACTGTTTTGCATCCTAGGAACTCATTTATTATTAAATTTGAAATAGGGATTGGTCTGATATGCATTTTGGATGATACTGCTACATATGTCTGGCATACTGACAGGTCAACTTCATGTTATTATATTTACATGTCAGCTGGGTCATGTCATTGAATAGGAATTCAATTCTGCAGTTAAAGATGAACATTTCAGAAGCTACAATATATGGAATTTTAAATCATGCAAATGGATTGTTGTTTAAACAATGTCAGATGGCTATTGAGCAGGAAAAAGAGGAAGGAGACTTGTATTTGAAAAAAAAACCCTGATTTTTGAATGAATTTAGTTTTACAGCCTTTAACTATTCCAAGGTGAATATCTTCAAAGGTGTCCAAGGAGGGGAACAAACAGTGAAGCCAGACCCTTGGGAAGGTGTGGAGGGGGCTGGTTCTTCACTCCCAGAAAGCGCGAAGCTCAGGCAGACAGGACGACGAGGTCAAGGGCTGCCTCCCTCAGCACTGTCTGGACCACAGTGCTGCCCCCCACAATGCTACCTGGAGTCCCCTTCCCCGGCAGCCCAAGAGCTTCAGCGTCAATGTGCTTGAGTAGCAATTTAAAGGGCTCAGGGTTCCGGCCTGTAGGAGTTCAATGGAAGGAAAGATCTGGTTGCAATTCATTTTGCCAAATTATAAAAAACAAGTGCCACTGGCTCCATTCTTCTGTCAGAGATGATGAACAGTGACAAGAACAACACAGGTGTGAGATTTTTTTTTTTAAAGGTGTGAAAATTATGCAATAGGCTTGGCTTTCTTGGATGGAAAAATTTGCATAATGGGAGCTTGACCACTTGCTTCCCACAGTGAATTGTGAAAACTCCCTACAAGGCATTGTGTGAGAGGGTAGAACATGGCTCACTGGGATACCAGAGAGCATTAGGAATCTTAAAATGCATGTAATTAAGTAAACCGTGTAATCACTGAAAATTTCAGCAGTTACACAGTTATACGCAAGTGGACTCTCTGGGAGCTGGTGTATACTGGGATCCAGCTTTTAAGCTGGCTCCCTGTGGATACTGGCTCCTGCCTGCTGCCGTGCGCTCAGGGAGCTATCTGCTGCTCTGCACTGTTGCGTCTGTATCAGAGGCAGCAGCATGGGATGGCACCTGGCTCCCTGGGTGGCATGAGAACCTGTTTGTAATCGTGAATGCTAACCAATAAACCCAGGCTTATCAGTTAACTGTTTAAAAGGCTACACTGTACAGTGCATCACAGTTTGTGTCAACACAGGCACCCCTTGTGAATATGTGCAGTACTGATGCAAGCAGTCAAGTATGAACACACGTGAGTGATACACTAACTGCTGCGTTTTTATGCTGACGTACTTGGCACAGACTAAACTTTAGTGTAAACATGGCCTAACTCTCAGTAACTGTAGTGGATTCAAACTTTAGTGAGTGAAGAGGAATGCAACTGCTGTATGAAGCTGCAAGAACTTTAAAAAAATCTGAGAACTCTGCTTTTTTTATTAGAAGTCTATTCTCCAATGACGTTAATTTGACTTCTTTCTGGTGCTACGTGTCACTAAAGTAGATACTAAGGAACAAAAGGGACAATTATACTTGTAGAGACACTAGCTAAAATGTGAAATTATCAGAAACTTTGCATCTTGTGCTTTGAGGTTACTACTTTGTCAGGTATATCTCTACATTGTAGACATCAGGAGCCTGCACTAATATGTTCTGGAATGAATGGGAGTCTTTTCATTGACTTTGATTGGTTCAAATTCTAAGTAGAAGTAGTGGTTCATTCTGACTTGAAAGCTATGCTAAATTTGGAAAGAAATGTAGCAAAAGAAAATTTCCGTTATAATACAGCTGAATACAGCATGCTTAACCCCTGCCATTATGTATGAAGCTGTGAAATGCTCACGATAATGCAACATTAAAATGAATGATTTTTGCACTGCAGTGAACATGAATAATTATTTTTGTTCTTCTTAGCGTGTGTACATACAGAGAGATTTGAATTGTTGGTATATAATCAGAAACTAGGATCCAGAACTTGAAATAGTAGAAAATAGTACCAGTGCCACAAGCTGAAAACCAAGGCCTGTCAGATATTATCATATCTACTCCCCCTTTCCACTTTATTTGACCCAGGAGGAATTCATTCAAATGTTCACTAACCTTTACTGGACAAGAATAGTAGCTTAATAAACATGAATTTTCCTTGGGGAATTCTAGTGCATGGTGTTAGTTTGGGTTATTTTCCCTGTCCACCTCCAACCTCTGACATTTTCCCCACCTTATTGCTGACGGTCTTTCAAAGGACAAAACTGTAACACTGCTGCTTGATATTACAAAACTCTCTTAAGGGAGATAAGTTGAACTGTTGTTTTACCAGAAAAATCATATAAATTTCCTTAATGGAAAAATTAGATCAAATGCTACTTTGTTAAGCCCTCAAGGAAAGTATATTTCTATTGTGAACAATTCCCATTGGGAAGTCTCAGAAACTTTAAATACTGATACCATTTAACTTTAGAGGAAAAATGAAAAACGATAAACTATTGGATATCTGGCAAACTGCAAGTGTTAAATTTAATAATTAGACTTTCACTGATTGTAGCTCATATTTATAAAATGAACGAAAGGAGAAATTTACAGAAAAGAAGTGAACTTATAACTCTCTTCTCATTTTAATTCCAGTGTAAAATCTATTCTAGGCAGTTGCTTAGCCTCAGTCAATGCAATCCCTCAATAGTTAGAAGAAATAAATTTTGGTTTGTCTATCTTCCTTTTGCTCAATCATAGACTGAACACATTCCAGATTCCACTGATTTTGCTCTCTTGGAGCAAATATTCATAATATTTTGAAATTATGAATATGGCCCACCTCTTCTAAAATGCCATTTCATTTATTTTCTCCTAACCTCTGAATGTGAAGAATTGGTTGTACTACAGGCAGTCCCCGGGTTACATGGATCCGACTTACATCGGATCCCTACTTACAAACAGGGTGAGGCAATCTCGCACTAGCTGCTTCCCCCCAGCAGACCAAGGAGACGCGAAGCTAGCGCCCCCCACAGCAGACCAGGGAGAAGCGGAGCGGTTTTTCTCAGCAGACACCTCAGCTTGAGAATAGAGGACTGAGGGAAGTGAGGTGTGGGAGAATAAAACTGAGCTCTGGAGAAATGTTTGGGTAGAGTTTCCCCTACAATATGTACCAGTTCCGACTTACATACAAATTCAACTTAAGAACAAACCTACGTATCTTGTACGTAACCCGGGGACTGCCTGTACTTTGGTTACTGTCAGAGCTAAATAACATTAGTTATTCTTTGCTTACTCTCATGCTGCACAAAACCTCTCCTCTTTATAGATCTTTTCTGTTTCTTAATTGGTCCACCACTGCCTGAATCACTATAAATAAACCTCTTGTTCCATGTATGTTTACTGGAAAACTGTGATGGTAAAGAATGAGTGCAACTTATGATTTATGTAATAGACTTGTAGGTTCTATGTAAACAAACACAACTGGATATATTAAAATTTTGAAAATTCGGACGAGGTGCTGGTGGAAGTTCCATTGCGTTTAAAGACAGCATCATGATATTTAAATGTCTAGTAACATAACAGATTTAATCTTCTTTCTGACTGGCTGATAGTTGTATGTTAATACTCTACAGGGAATAGCGGTAATGAACTCAGAAGCTATTATTTGTCAAATCATTTTAGCATCCACTCTCTATCATACTCAGATTTAACCCTACTGTACATTGTTGTATGGATGCTC